ATTGGTTTTTGGTATATGTCTATTTTAAATTTATGGCGCCCCCCCGGAGAAAACCCCACCAGCCGCCACTGCTATGAACTATAATATGAACAAATATTAAAAAGCACACAACCCTAAATCAATGCAGTTACTTTAGCTAATGGCAACATTAAAGTAAGACCAACTAGAAGCACCTAACAGAATGATGATAGATGTGGATTACATATGTTGATGCTAACGTATAAGAAGAAAAATCTATCGCAAATTAAAATTGTGCTAATCATAGAGCTAAAGTCATAGATGGCGTCACAGATAGAGCTGTGGATGGCTAGAATCAAACCTAATGTCGTGCAGAAAAACACCAGAAATCAAATTATCATAAAAAATATACAAACTGAAAAATACAGCTTAGGTCAAAATGACCAATTATTTTAACAGTCGGTAGCAAAGATGATTGTGAGAGCCTTAGTTTGTGTTCGATGGAAGATTTTTTTTTTTTTGTCTTTTCAATCCAAAGCCCCCCTTTGCCTCTGTGGGGCAGTATTTCACCACATATAATGTTTATTAGAGACTCTTACAACAAATCGGCTGTTGACTTTCTCCAGAATCTGCTTCTCATTAAGTGCCATAGACTCTCCTTTCCTCTTCTTTATCCTCTTCTTCTCCAGTTTTTTGCAGGCGTACATTTTCCCTGTGGCTCGTACTTGACACGCACACACCTGCGGGAAATAAAAACCACAGGATATCCATCAGGCTGAGCAGCATCAGATGCATTGATTAACTTATTGGCGGATTGAATTTCTCAGGAATAGCAGAGATTTGGCAGGTGTGTTTTTTTTCTGTTACCAAGAAGGAAAAATAAACCCATTGACCTTGGAGAAGCAACTTCTGTCATCTGTCTAACAGCTTATGCTTGACCCAAACTGAGTAAGGAAACAGGACAATGATTCACTACATTTCCGTGCATTTTCTCCCGTCTGCATGAGGCCGAGCGCAAATCCAAACACATAAGTTTAACCCTTGCCTCTTTTCATGTCCCTCATTATCTCGTGATCCAATGATATCACATTCAATCTGCTATCGCCATGAGACCAGCATGGCATTAAAATGACTCCTGCTTATTACAGAAATATGTCGTACAGAAGTGCCATTCAGTGGAGCCTAATAGGATTCAGACGTCGGTGCTGGAGTTCCTCTTTTCGGGTGCCAAGGAGAGGATTCAGTTAGAAACGCAGCAAAAGAAAAATGGTTTGATGGAAAAAACACCAATCAGGGCCGTCCTAAAGGTCAGCCGCTCCAAGAGCGGTAGAAAACTGTTGGCACTTACCTCCCCAAAGCCTCCTTTTCCTAAAACTCTGTACTGTCTGAACGTGTTCTTCGTCACTGGCTGCCTGTTGGAGAGAGAAAGTAGTTCATTTATAAGGCAAAGGTAGTAGAGTGCTGTGACACATAGGTCTATCAGTTTATGAAATTATCTTTAATATTCCTTAAAGATAACCTGAGTCATCATTATTGTAGTTGTTGGTGCCACAGGTTGAATCAATATTTAAAAAAATAAATTTTTGGGTTTGTTTGTCTTGTTTTTACTCTAGCTATCTTTCTCTAACAATATAATAAGATCACTGAAGAAGAAAAAATGTGAATATTTTTTTTCTTGTAATGATATTACTTGTAGAAAGTTAACCTTCTTGACCAAAAACCTTTGGGAAGTGGTGGCCTAGTGGTTAGGGCATAGAGCTTGGAATCCTGAACTTGTGAGTTTGAAAAAGACCCATAACCCTGCTCCCCGGGTGCAACAAATGGCAGCCCACTGCCCCCCAAGGGGATGGGTTAAATGCAGAGAGTGAATTTCATGGCACTGTACTTGTGACAGTGCAATGGCAATAAAGAGCTGAAAGAAAATGTAACAGGAAAGACAAAGACTGAGTCTTAGTCCTTTCTAGTATTGTACTACAGTATTCATTCTCACCTCTGCTAAGTCATAGTTTACCATCAGTAATGAAGTATTTCTGTTAATGTGCCGACAGATGAGTCAGGGTAAGTTTAGGTAATGGTTTCTGAAAAGTTAAACATCCTACTTTCGAGTAGGATTGTGTGAATCAATTCCATGACTTATTAAATGTAGTCATCAGCAAAAACTACTTTTATCCATTGTTTTTAAAGAAGAACCGAAACCAAACCATGCTACTTTTTTTTTTTTTTTGGAAGTGTTCCTACTGCCTACACAAGTTTTACACAACCATTCACACACACTCACACCTAGGGAGATTTGTTTTTTCTACAGAAGCCAAAGTAACCTAACAGCCCTGTTTTTGGACACTTGGAGGAAGCTGGAGTACCCGGAGGAAACCCATGCATTTACAGGGAGAACATGCAACAGTGCTCCATTGTGCAGCCCTGGCTCTTTATGGTAAAAATTGAATTGTTTATCCCGTTTGGGGTCCCGTGTCTTATGAAAACACGGATAGGAGGTGGACTCTCTGGAGCTATGTGCATATTATCTTATTTTAATTGTAAAAATACTAATTTGTTTGGCAGGTCATCTTATTAACCTACTCAAATGATGGGTAAATACACTCAATTTAAGAAATGTTCAGTTATTTCTAAATTGTTTTTGCAGTTTAAGATGTCTCTAGATGTTTATATTTGTGATCCCCTGCTAGCAGGAGCTGTCGCTCATCCACTATGTTTTTCTATGCTGAACTGTGCGCCTGGTAACAAATTTTCCTATGTGGACGGTGGGAGCATCAGGCAATCAGAGGTGCTGATGCTAAAATGTTGTAATTTGGCTGTGCGGAAGATGGGCTGTTGAGATTCGTCATCTTAAAGCAGAGCTTCTGCTCCTCTGCATCAAAAGGAGTCAGTAGTGGTGGCTCCTGATCAGGATGCCTCTTGGTTATCTCGCTTTGGAGGTTTTCAAGACGTGTCCAATTGGTAAAAGGCAGGAGAGACCCAGATCTGCCTGAGGGGACTTTTTAAATCTGTTCTTTAAAGTTGGAGAGTGTGACAGAGAAGAGGGATACCGTTTGGACCTGTAACCCCATGACCCTCAATCAATGGATGGGTTTCCCGTAGATTTAGACCAGATCGCCTGGATGTTAACAGCATGGCACATCTGACTGGAAGAACATTCCACCATTAACAGAACTTTCTGGACCAAATAAACCTTCTCACATGGGGACACCTAGGATCCCTCAGATGGAGCTGGAAAGTGTGTAAAGCAACCTTGAGGTTTTTTCTGCTGGGCATTACCTTTATCCTAAAAATAACTTGTCTTTGTTAGGAGTGGCTGGTAACGAAGAACCAAATGAGCAAATTTCTTAGATCATACCATGTGTTTACATTATATTTAAGCTTGAAGCATTGCTCTTTAAATGTTCAGGTACCAGGAAAAAAACAGGAAAACCAAACAAGACCCACTAAATGATTGAAGAATGTCAGGCGGGAATACTATATGGCAGCACAAACAACTCTTTCATTTTAACTTTTAAACATCGCAGTTGTTTGAAGAGTGATTGTATTCACAAAGACAAATTTATTGATAACACCTGCTACCCTCCTGGGATCACTCCTCCCATTTTATCAGAGTGACTCTGGGGATTCCACTCATTAACACCATTAGGTATCCACTGCGGTAACAGGGCTGTGATTGAGAAGCCGCTGCTTGGGGTTAACAAGTGTTATTTATCCTGCGATCTGTGCAGCCTGTCAGGTTTAAACTGCAGCTTTTGTGGCCAACCACAATCTGCATTCAGTCATGAAGCAGAAACATGTTTCATCCTGTTGGAGACAGTAGGTAAAACCAATGAACGATTAAATCAGCACAACATTGTAGTTAGACATAAAGTTAATCCAGTGTTCCTGGATTGTTGTCATGGGGGTAAATCTCGTGGCTTCCATCCAGTCTGTTTGCTGCCATTGGCCTGAAGGTGTTACTGAAAGTCTGAAGCCTGTCTCTTACTCTGAGGATTTAGTCTTATTACTCCTGATTTCGACACCAAAAACGTTACTAAAATGACAACTTAGTTCAACTCAGTTCTTCAGCTCATCTTGTGTTTAACATGGATAGGAGGTCGGGATACAAAACCTAACCTGTGGTGAAGTCTGGATCATGACTAACCTAGATTGATGCATTCACAATGCCAGCAAACCACCACCAACATGGTAGATTACTGCTCCAGGTTCACCCCAATGTAATCCCGTCAACAAACTGGACTCTGACACAATTAAATGTTCCAAATGTTTGGTGTGAAAGCAGAATAAGAATGGAAAAGGCTTCCTGATGGATCTAGATTTCAGCTACCGTTTTCAGAATTAATCCAACTTTCTGTTGGTGGTGTGACATTATGGGGAATATCTCCTTGGCATACTTTGGACTCCTTCATCAGGAGCATTGTTTAAATGCCTCTACCAACCGTTTTGTTGCTGGTCACACCTATTCCTTTAGGAGGGCTGCTGTTATACTGCATTTTGCACCATATTTATTTTGCACTGCACTGAACCTTGCCCTTTTGCACCATTTCTTTTTTTTTTTTTTTTACTGGGTTTCCTTTTCACCTATACTGTCTACATGCTGATCACTGCCTCACTTTAAATGGTAATGTTCATTTCACAGCTGTAAGCAACCTAATTTTGTTTTGTATATACACTGTGTATACAAAATGACAAAGTTTGTCTAAGTCTTCCAGCTAGATCATGCCCTTAAATACTTTTGATTTACAAACTGATTTACAGAAGACTTCACTGCAATAAGCTCCACAGTCGAGAACTCGCTGCAGCAGAGCGCCCTTTGGATGTGAAGGAACGTTAAGATTCACATCCTGGATATGTAGCCGACAAACCTGCACCATATTATTTAGGCTGAAATCTCAGGAATGTTTTCAACATGTCGTTGAACCCATACTGCAAAGAATGTAATAAGCTGCACAGGCAAATAATGGGAACATAAACCTAAAAAATAAGGAATAGTTGTATATTTATTTTTGACTTTGAATGCTTTTTTTATTTGCACAGAAGAGCTTTAGAGTGTCATTGAGAGCAGAGATATCTGAGATATAGGATGGATATGGATTTCATTTTGGAAAAACATAGTTTTCCATACTTTTTTTTCTTTTCTATACTTTTTTATATCTGGAAAAACTGCTTGGCCAAGCAGAAAGCTTGCCTCAGTTTTTAACGTGTTTCTTCCTAATCTGATTGAACACTAGTCCAACCTGCTGGATCCCTCTATTACTGATAAAAGTCAGGGAAAAAATGTTGCACGAGTCATTATGCAGCAGGAGGGAACCCTTACTGCTAAAGTTCTGCAGAAAAAGTGAATGTTTTCCATTAGGCAATTTCCAACTTGTCTTTTGAAATGTGTCATGGCGTTGTTGTTGTAACCCGAAGGAGAACAGGAAGCTGTGAGGCAACTTTCTCTGAACATGTTGCTACTGGTAGCGTGTTTTGGAAGGAAGATACTGTTAGAAACCCCTTACCTCTCCAGCCACTTCCACTGCAGGAACCTGTTGAAGTACATGCTGTCAAGGTAGTCGGCAAAAGGCGCCACGCTCAGGTAGTCGTGAATTAATCTAGAAAAATAAAATAAACAGAAATAAATTGAACTTTTATTTAGCTTACTAGTTTTAAATAGTTTATCACTAAAAAGCAGGAGTTGCTTTGGGGAAGCAGGAAAAAAAACCTGTTGGATTAGGTTTTATTGAGCATTTGAGAAAATGAGCAAGAGTTAATATTTTGCTCTTAGTTTGATTTTCTTTTCTTGCATTAGGGATTTAAATAGAACATATTGTAATAGAACATATAGAGGCAGTGAGCCTGTTTCTGCAGTTTATGGACAATCAAAGTAAATCTGTCGTGCTTGAAAATAGAATAACTGGAACTTGAAATAAGTCACAGTTTGGCCTTGCAAAGCTAGCATTTTAATTTATCTGATAGACAATTAGCTTTAAGTTTCTATATATGTTCTGTTTTTTCCATGAAATGCTCAGTTTCCATTGGGATAATGCTTCTCCTTTTAGATGTGTTTAGATATTCAGGAACTTTTTATTTAAATTACTTTCAGACTCTATAGTCTTCACTCTAGATGAGTTGTTTATGCATTTAAATGCAGGCAACTTTGTCTATTTTCACCCAGTCTGTCAATACCTAATATAGACCTTTTGGAATTAAGGGCCCTTTTTAACCTTTCATATTTCCACTGTGGACACAAATAAATTACATGTAAGACACCAGGAAGTTCTACCATACATGGTTAAAGACTCTATTGGATACCTCCTACAGGTTACACACAATACACAACAGCTTGTTTGTTTTAACCCTAAGCTTAAGAAGGGAATCACCGTAGCAACTATTATTTTTTCAGATTTTTCTGCGGATACTTGTGTCAGCAAGATTAATTCAGTACCAAAACATTTTTGGTTAAGTATTTTGAGGCTTGCTTATATTGGACATTGAAACGAACTGATTAAGACATCATTACAACTTATAAAGAATTAAAATACTGCCAGAAGCAGTGTTTTGTTGACATTTTACTAACAATTTTGTGAAAAACCCATTTTAAATTGAATCTTTAGAGAAAAAGGTAGATTGTTCCTGCCTCTTTATTCTCATGTTTCTATAAAACATGAATGTCTTTATTCAAAATGTATTAATATCAACTATATGATTGTGATTTGAAATGCAACTTAAGATATTATCAAAAAGGGCCCTGTTTTTCTTAGAACAGTCGCCTCATTCATTATAGAAACATTTTTTGAGTTCTACAAACACTCTTACCAATCCTTAGTTTTCTTATTGTGTGATTGCACTAGAGGCCTTTATTCATTAGCTGCTGGAGGAACCAGGGATAGTTGCCATGACAACTGTACCCTCAACAAATGGTGACCCTGCTTAAATACAAAGCTAAGTGGCTCCCTACAAATCCTTCGTTTTCTTTTTGTGTCTGCTATATTTGATTTTGTACATTAGGTATTGTTAAACATTGTCCTTGGATTGTTTCCTGCTCTCCATGCATACCTATTTTAATTCAGTGCAGTTTATTTATATAGTGCCAATTCACAACACGTCATCTCAACGCACCTTACAGTTCACCAGATCATACAGTCAAATTGATTCAAAGTTTTCTATCTAAGGAAAACCAGTTGTAGTAGTGATGTATTTCTGTTAGTAAATTACCCCGCCTGCCTTAGATCAGTCACCAGTTCCCTCTGAATAAACTCTCAGATTTTATTGAATTTCAACTCTTGTTATAACTTTTGAAGCTTTCTGCAACTTCTATGTGAAACACCTTTACCTTGCTCTAAATAACAAAAAGCTTTATTCCAATCCTCTGCCTTCTTTCTGACCCTGATTCAACAGCAGAGAGGTATAGTTACCCTCGAATAATAGGACATAACACCAGCAACCAGATCAAACTATGAACATTTTTAATAAAATCCATGTGAGCAGCTTCATTGAGCATGAATAATTGATGGTATGACTTATAATGAAAAAAATGTTATTTCCACTCAGCATTTAGAGTCATGGGATTCCCAGATGTAATGAAATTTATGCACCACACAAAGACAAAGGAGTTTGGGTGATTCTATGGAAACAGAGGGCTTATTTATCTTGGTCCATGACACTTGATACTGTTTAACCAGACGTAAAAACGTCCCAAATAAAAATTGGTTTAAAAGGAATAAAAATGTTTAAAATCTAAATAACCATTAAAACTGAACAATATTTGCCATTGATTTGTTTGTAATTTCTTAAAACATTTAGGATTAGTTTAAAAAAATAGATTATGAATTTTTATGACTAAATTTATTTAAATATTTCTTTATTGATTAAGTTAAAGAGCCTTTTTATGTGTTAATTATTCATAGGTGAGAGTTAAAACATTCTCTTGGAAATGCACCATACTGGTCTAGATCAGATAAAAGAAGAAGCCAAAGTCGAAAACAAAAGGTCAAAATGGATGCGACTCACAGATTTCTAAGCAAGATTATAGTTTTTTTGTTAAATCAACTGACATAAAGGAAGTAAGATAATAATAACCCATCAAAAAATGTTGATGTTTTTGTCTTGAAAATGGTATCAGGTGTTTTGTTGCAAAAAAAGAAAAGCTGCATAAGATTTAATGATCTATTTTCCTTTTTTTTTAAAAGAGCAGTGAGTCTGAGTTGACGTATCTGACTGCAGCCTTTGCATAAACAAATGGTTTTACCAGCATGATTCCTCTGACTTTGAACTCTTTAGTCCAGAGGATTTAAATTACTTCAGTCATAAGCAAAGGCTGTCAGTTTTACACTCCTTGATATTGTACCTCTCACAGGTCTTATTCAATAAAGCATTTAAACATTTCGCATGTCAAAAACTGGTAATTACACTCAACAAAAATATAAATGCAACACCTTTCGGTTTTGCTCCCATTTCTTATGAGATGAACTCAAAGATCTAAAACCTTTTCCACATACTCAATATAGCAATTTCCCTCAAATATTGTTCACAAACCAGTCCAAATCTGTGATAGTGAGCACATCTCCTTTGCTGTTGTGGAGCAAGTAGAGAAATTAACATTCAATAAATGAGCAACAGCTCTGGCTGACATTCTTGCCGTCAGCATGCCAATTGCACACTCCCTCAAATCTTGCTATATCTTTGGCATTGTGCTGTGATAAAACTGCTCCTTTCAGAGTGGCCTTTTATTGTGGGCAGTCTAAGGCACACATGTGCACTAATCATGAGGTCTAGTCAGCATCTGGATATGGCACAGCTGTGAGGTGTGATGAAATAACTTAGCAAAGGAGAAGCGCTGACTATCAGATTTAGACTGGTGTGTGAACAAAATTTGATAGGAAAATGGATATATTGTGTCTGTGGAATAAGTTTTAGATGTTTTAGTTCATCTCATAAAATGGGTGCAAAACCAAAAGGGTTGCGTTTATATTCTTGTTGAGTATAGATTCTTAAACTGCATAAATGACTTAATTGCATTTTTCTAAATAGAGCATTGTGCATGTGATTAAGAGGTACAGCCTCCCATATTAAATTGGATTGTAGTCAGAGATCCTTAAAGGATGTCATTCTCACAAAACAGCCCTATTGGCATGCAATAAACACAGTCTTAAATAAAAGAATGGCAATGGCCCAAGAACAGGTCCCTGGAGTACACCATCATCAGGCTTTTTTTCCCCTAACATTTCACAAACCTAATGATTATTGGATTTTTTTTGTAATAAAATTGATGAAATAATTTTTATTAGTATAAAAGTAAAAGAAAATCCCTGAAATACAAAAGCATTTCTCAGGGATGAACTATAGGCTATAACTAAGCAGTTGCCTCAACCATGGCTGTGACCTTACTTGGTGCAGTCCTTAAAAAGCTCTTTGCAGGCTTCTTGCTGGAGCCTCTCTGTACACTGAGTCATCATCTCCGCTTCCACCTCAGACACATGGTCCTCCGACTGTATGAAAACAAAAAATAGTTTTTTTTTTATTCAGTCTTTCATAATCCTATTCCATTATCAGTACATGAGTTGTATGTTTGGTCATTTTTACTTTAACATATGTCAAGCATAATCTTCTTACCTATGGTACAGTAAAAGCAGGATGTTTATTGCCAAACTTGTCAGATAAAAAAACTACATATTCATTAATAAAATCCAGTAATTTAAATTATGTTAATTTGTTTCATTACTTCTAGTTTCTTGGCAATATTTAGTAACTCTGTCAGAGTTACTATTGTATTTGAACTGCAATTTGTTTGACCTTATTAATTTTTTTGGAATTTATCTTACCAAAAAAACCTTTTTTTGATTTAATTACAGCAGAATCGTTTCTGATTTCCATTTACATGATCATATTTTTTTCTGAAATTATTCCTGTGAATTCAATAATTTTGAATTAATTAACTTAAAGTATGGTTGTCCGAATGAAAAAACTTAATAATGCAATTACTATATTTAAAGTAACTCTAAAACTAGTAATTTTCGACTGGGACTGTGCAAAATAGTCTAATAACTAAAGCAAACTATTTGAAATGAATAATACAAAAATCTCCCAATATTTGTCCATTTTCAGCTCTGAAATCCAAAAATAACTGAATGTCCTTCCGATAAAAAGCTGCACTAATGGCATTAAAGTAGGTCATTTACAGTGTCCTTTTGTTAACATCTCTAGCAAAAGAAAAACTGCTACTTTTAGTTTCAAATTTGATCTGAAAAAGAGCTTTAGGATGCGGGTACCGTTGGGTTGAGGTATTTGTCGATGACTTCCTGTCCGCACTCCTTCCTCTTCTCGTCTGGAGTCACCTCGTACTCCGCCTGGAATAGTTTGGATTGTAAAGATACAGTGAGTTTCATATGAAACAGAGTTGGAACCCAATAAATAGATCAGAGCTTTAAGGACCAGTGTGTTTACACAAGATTGATTTCTTTAGATCTCAAGAAACAATCTGTCGTGTTTTAAACACAGAATCGCAGCACTCATTTTGAGAAACTTCACATTCTAGTTAATTATGTTAGGATATGCCATTTTATAGATGTTTTATTTTGTGGAAAAACAACAGATCTCTTTCAATATAATTTAAAACATCTCACCCACACATGGTTCCTTTTTTTTTTTTTTGAACAGACATTACGATTTTTCTTAAACCTTAAATAATTTACAAAGTCTTACTTTTTGCAGCAAATGCCTCCATGGAGAAACAGGAGGCCCCTAGCACATGGTTGGTTCATTCTTTTATTTTAAACTGACCCGACTATGGTCATTTACCATGGTTTACCTCTAATGGCGATGACACTCGCATAATGCATACGACCAATGTCCCACCCATCTAACCAACCCTTTCCTGTCATTCTACTGTGAAATAAAGACCACTAATGCCACATAAACTGAATGGGGGGAAAAAATAAAATAAAATTAAATGAAAAAGCTCTGAAAGAAGTGTACACCGGTTTCAACTTGTATAAATTATAGTGAAAGAGAAAAGTTAATGGATGTTGCACAAACTTTCAAACATTATTTTCAAACGTTCTGGTTATGTCATGATCTTGGCGCTGATGTCTGGTTTGATTATTCATTTCACTCACCTGCTTATCTCCACCCAGTTCTCATTATTGTTCATCTGATCCACCTGCATCAGTTTCTATTTAACGAGGCTTCAGACCAGTCATCAGTGCCAGATTATTTGAGCCAATGGTGAGAGTTCTTGAGTATTCCCGTGTATCTGATTGCCTGATCCTGACCCGTTTCTGCCTTTGGACCTCTAAGCCTGCCTGTCCGCTTTCTGATCCGTTTGCCTGACCTGTCTTCGGACTCCTGCAGGATCTCTGCCTGTCTGTGAACCGAACCTGGAACTGTTTCCCTACTCCGTACTGGATTTCTGATCTCCTGGCTCTCACTACCGAGCATGTCATCGGCACTGGCTTTGGCTTCGTCCTCCCGATTATCCTGCCTTTCTTAGCCTGCATGGGTCTGATCCCCAGCCTGTCCTCTGATACATCAGCCTATGGGACCCTTTGGGCGGCGCCTGAGGCATCTTGTTGTCAGCCAACCGGCTGGAACCAACCTCACCGTCTGGGCTCAGACTGAATTTTAAGACCAGATCCAGATAGATCATCCACCTCCAGATAGTTTTTTTTTTTTTTTTTTGAAGCATGAAAATATTTTTTTCCTGCTGCAAATCAGCTCCCAGTATAACTGGAGAAAATATCTACTTGAAGGCATTGTCCAACACCAATTTTAAGGATTCAAGATGAAGTTCTATTCAACCATAAATATTATCACATAAGACTTGCTTTCTCTGCTCCATACGCTGCAGCTTACGATTGGGACGTGAACTGTTCCAACGTGCAGAAAGCTGAGCCTGAATGGAAATATCCAAAGTGCTTCCTCTCACTGTGAGCTCTGGTAAATGAATGCTAAGTGACAGCAGAGCCTGTTCAGATCCGGTTATGCCTCTCTCTATTGCCTCTTGCTTCTTCCCAGAGAAAAAACTGAAAGTGGTTGAAGGGGTAAAAGTAATTTGTTTCTCTGGGAAGCAGCAAAGCAGTTTGTCAGTGAGTCACAAACTGGCTGAAAAGGGGGCCGATAGGGTCTCCATGTTAAATTTTCTCATCAAAAACAAATACTAAATACGGGTAAAAATAATACTTTCCCAAAGGAATGAGAACAAAAACCAGGAAGGTGAAGACGTCTCAGGGCTGCAAGGACTTCAAAGTCTGTCCTAGTTTGAGTTGGGAATTAGAAGGAAGCTAAATGAGGGGTTCAGCTGATGTGTTTTTGCAACATGGGAGGTATGAGAGGCTGACTCAGTGTTTGCTTCAACAATTCAACCGTTTCCTGTATTTCATTAAACTCACTTCCTTGGGCTCTCTGCAAGATTTAAATGTTTTGTTCAGGCATTTCAGGATAAGTAAAGCTACCATTAGCGAAGACACAAACATTTGAACCGTGTTTTATTTTCAACCGTGACCTAAAGTCAGGCCCTTTAACAAAGACCACAGCGAGGGCATTTTCTCTGATTCACACCTCTGTTCCTGGGTTTGGCTTGTCTAAGGCATGCCGTGATACTTACGATTTATTTTATATATCTGGTCTCATTAAATAAGCACTTTGTAGAAGCTGATGCACCGCAGCCTTTGCTTATTGTCGTGCACTTGTCATCTATTCGTACAATAATAACCTGGTCAATAGTATTAAGATATGTTCCACTTCAAATCCATCCCATTGGAAGCAGTGGGCTGCTGTGTGATGCTCTGGGAGCTTTCTAGGGCTAAAGGATTTGCTCAGGGATCCATAGTGGCAGACAACAGGACTGGAGCCAAGGAACCAGCACCCTTCCCAGAGCCCAAATGCCCTGCCCAACCTTAAATGAATGACTATCACAACTGCTTTTAGATGTCACCTATTTGGTCGATAGACTCCACTAGTTAACAATTTCATTTTAGTATAGATATATCAGTCAGAAGGGAAATAGAAAACAGAAGCCATTGTTTTGGTATTTGTGGAGCCTACTGAGAGTAAGAGTCAACATCTATTTAAGCAGATGTGAAGTTGATGTTTTGTGATTAAATGTCTGATTCAGAGATGTTCGAACATGAATTGAGCTAAACCTTTTTTAATCAGAAAAACTGAAATTTTTTTATAGCTGTTGTGTCCGCTCCATTTAATGACTATCACCAATATGCAAGGATCTATGAGATTATTCTTGATAAAACTTCTACTTTGATAATTATGTTGTAGGGAAGTGACGACCTAGTGGTAGGGATATAGAGCTTGGAATCCTGAGGTTCTGAGTTAGACTCCCACTCCCACAGACTGCCACTCTGGCTCTCTGAGCAAGAACCTTAATTCCACACTGCTCCCTGGGCACCCCACGGTGGCAGCCCACTGCCCCCTAAGGGGATGGGTTAAATGCAGAGGTAAATTTCTCCAATGTGAGATCAATAAAGTTCAATTATGTAAAAACAATACTTTTTCAATTAATCTAATCTAAACTGGATACCTTGCATCGATTTTAAACTTCATAAAAGATTGAATTTCTAAATTCTACTCCTAACTAAAATCTTCGCTGTGATTTTTTTTTTTTTAGCTCTGAAAACAGCCTGCCTTTAAAAAAAATCAATTGTTTAATGGATTTATTTATTCTTTTGCTTACACATAGATTTTTCTTCTAAGTCTAGTCAGAAAAGACATCGGTGTGATTTGGTTTTGCTAGAACTCTTTGTGTTTTATCATGTAAAGGACCTTTGCTCACTGTGAATGATTTAAATAGAATTCATAAGAAGACGAGGTTAAATGTACCCAAAAAGGCATTTAGTCAGTGCATCCAAATGGATCAGGTGTTTTGAGAGACCATACACGTAATTTCAGTTTGCTGGTATTATGTTGTATTGTGTACTCCCCAGCTGCCTTGTTATAAAACTATGGCGTTGTCCTCTTCTGTAAACCAACATGTGCCTCTTTGTTGCTGTGTTTACCTTGCCTGATCTGACTGCTAATGCCTGTTGCTTTGATGTCATTCTGTAGCAGTGACAGCGCCACCATAGGGCCCGCCATGTGTACTACAGCGTCTTCTTCAACGTCTACCTCAGCTATGTGCACTTGTGTTCACAATATTTCGCAGTTCCATTTTGTATTTTTGGCAGAATCGGTAGGCCATACTTGACTTATACTGAAATATGCGTCAAGCACATATAAGTATAAATCCTCATAGGCAGGATGAATTTGGTTAAATGTCTTACCACAGCATCCAGGAACTTAACGCAACGTCTGAGCTCAGGTCGTGTGTCGCAGAACTGTCTGAACAGTAACCGGCCGATGGGCTGCCGCTCACACAGGCTGCTGTAGTCTTTCTCTGCACAAACACAAAAGGGAAAGTATTTTAAAAAAGGCTAATTTCATACCCAGGACACACTATTCTATCTTACGACCTTCATTCTTTGTACAGTATCCTGTGTCACTCCGTACAAAAGAAATCACAGCACTGAAATTAGTTTGAAAATCTGTTTTCTTTTTTAGATAACAGGTTCAAAAAAATTAATCTCAACACGTAAAAGGCTTTAAGGTCAAAGCTATATTTCGTTAAAACTATTATTTTCAAATATAATACATCCACCAACCTTCTACACTGGTATTATATAAATCCAATCTTTACTGAAAAATAATGAATATTAATTATTGTTTTATAAATCTCAATCAGTTACAAATTATATAAATATTCTAACTTTTGGTTTGGATGCCAATATTGATGCAAAGGATTTTGCACCAATAGAAACAGTAGGTTAAAGTCACACGATCAGGTGTTGCCAGGTCCTAGCAACTCTGTAAGAGGGCTTCATCTGGGTGTTACATTTAGTAGATTTAAGTGGATCAGAAATGAAACTTAAAGAAGTTGAACTTTGATCAACCTTTTTGAAGCTTAAGAATGTGTGAAGCCACGCACAGGTTGCTAGTTTCCATCTGGTGGACCTAGCAACCAGCTGGCATACAGTACAACTGAAGGCTGAAAGGCAAGTGGGCAACCATTATTGTGCTCCTTACTGGCCAGGAGGAGTTAAACTTAGACATCTCCTTCAACCCATTTGTTAGCCTCTTTCTTAAATTTTTCTATCTTCTCTCAAATTTCTCTAACTTTTCGTAACTGTCATGTTTTCATTTCACTCTCGCTTAAAACTATTATAAAAAGTTTCCCTTTGTCATTACTCTTGCGGCTCTCCTCTTTTTTACGCATTTTATACAAAATAATCACACAATCTACCTTTTAATTTTAATAAAAATTCAATGTTCCTGTATGTATGAGCGTAGGTGTATGCAAACACTATCAAAGATCTATGCAAATACATTGGATCTGTTACACTGCAGATACTACCTGAGTCCCGTTTCACCACAGTGGTGATAATTTTACATATTGCAGCTTTAGTGGTTTGGATTATGCTCATTCTCTTTAGCCCAGTTGTATGTTGGATAAAAGGCGTGTGAACCATGATTATGTATAAGACAACCCACCACAACTGGGTTTTCCATGTTCTTTATTTTTACTAAGAAAAAACATTTCGTTCAGCTTCACCATCCATTGCAACACCTGCAAAAAAACATGTGAACTAGGTTATCAAAAATTAATTCAAAACCTTGATGACAACCACCAGTCACCGATGCTGATCTGTTTTTCTATTTTATGTGCATCACATAGATCACAAACTAATCCAGCTTTAATAGTTCTAATCATTGAGGGTTCTAACTTGTTTAGATGTATTAATCTTCATAACGGCACTATTTCAAACTAATGTTTTAGGTTTTTAGAGAGCTATGAGCTGCCGTTAAATGCAGTTTGTGTGCCACTGCCTTTTACAAAATATATAATTTTGATGTGATATGAAATTAAAAGTACCACACATAACAATATTATAGATCAGATGCAGATAATAATCAGCTATAAAAGAGGAAAGAAAACCCATCTGTCATGGGCATCACCTGACATCCCATACTTTCCACAATGGTAGAAAGTCTCCCCAGAAAGGAATCCTGATAAAATATCAAAACCTGGAAAAGTAGTTTTGATCCAGTGCAACAGTTTAAAATATTGGAAAACTGAAACTATACAAATACAATTACAGGTTAGTTTTAATCACCAATAATCCAAAGAAAAACGATATACATCTTTTCATAGGAACTTTATTTTTGTTGCAGAAAATCAGATAGTTGGAGTCCATTTGAGTTTAATGCAAGAAAAGATTTGCATCTGAGAGGCAGGCAGATGCAAAGCAGAAATATATTTTACTCACAAATAAATGTGTTTCAGTGACGAACATGTCAGCGAACATTCACCTCTATTGTCCAGGTCTCACAGCCCCAAGAAAAAGCCACCAACAGTGAGAAATCCCACTAAGATATGTTCTGAACCCTTTAAAAATATGAAGCAAAAGACTCAATTCTGTGGAACCATTTGTATGCTTTAAGCAAAGTTATGCAAAAAATGGAAAGCAGGACATTTTAAAGTCCATCCATCCTCTACCACCTGTCTATCAAGGTTACAGGGGACTAGGGCTGATCTCCAGCAGTCTCTCTGCATTTTAAGTCTAGCTATGATTTATAAATGATGTGGGAATGAATAATCTTAAATGCAACCTTAAAAAATTACATACCACTCTTTTTTTTTTAGAAAAAGATGTGCATGATAAGTTCAGGTTTTACAGGTTGAGCATGTCAAGTTTGCTTTCCTGAAGTTGTCCTTATTTCCCTAAGTTTGCATGTCTGGTTCAATGATGAGATTCCCTCAGTTTGTCTTGTTTAGTGCATTGGTTTCATTTTTTGTTGTGTACTCCTGTGACTTAGATGTTATCTCTCTTTACATCTGTAAAAACATCTGGACATAATGGGCAAATTGAAAAAAATTGGACATCTCTGAAGGTTTTGTAATCCCTTTGGGTGTCACTTAAAAAGGCTTTAGAAAGACTACCAGTGGTAAAGAACTGCTTCAATTGAAGCTAAGCACCAGTCAATTTTTGTTCTATCCTCCTTCCACGATTCAGTAATTGAATATAACTCGGCTTGAGTTTTCCTTTCATTTATTTCCTGAAGCTTCTATTAAGTCATTACCCATCACTAACCTAGTGACTTATGTCTATTCATGTCAAGGCCTCCATTTTCCTCCTCTAACAGTTCTTCTGCTCTAGTTGTCTTCGTCCTGCTAGAACCCCTTTATTATCCTCCCCTTACTCTAATGGTCTCTCATTCCTTCCACCTACGTCCTGTTGCAAAGTGAACTGAAAGGTCAACGGAAAGGAAGCAAAGCTATTGGCAAAAGAAACAATAACGCAGAGAAGAAAGGAAGTTGGACAAAAAGCCATTAATGGTTGAATATCTGGATGGGCATCAAGACAAATGTGTGTGACTCTAATTAACATTTCTATTTAACAGAGTATAGCACTTATTCTAATTCCATAAACCATTGTTTTCTTTTGAAAAGCCCTGATAATTAGCTTGATTATACATCATAAAGCTGCTCAGCCGTTCCCACACTGACTCTTCATGCATGAAATATGACATTCTGTTGTTCTGGGAATCAACATTTTCTAGTCGTGGCTCAGTGGGCTTTCTCAAAGGATTAGTGGAGGTGTGAAGTTTATAAAAAGAAGCTCCAGAAGGGCTTTACATTAACCAATACAGTGATTAAGCAAAGAAACCTCTGTTCAGCCACTTGCTGGCTCTAAGGGCCCTTGTGGTCTCCACAGACACTTATATAAGCCCAGGTGAACAACATTTTTTCTTTTCTTAATATATTTAGAGAAGTTGTTGGGAACATAAGCTTCCAGCAGGTCAGAAGGACCCAACAGCTAACCCTAACATCTCTTAAGGGCTGGTTATATTCCCTGCAGCAGTCTTTCACACTATAATTTTGATTTATGCCCAATTTTGTTATTTCACACTAGAGACTGAAATTTTTTCGGGAATCCCACGGGTCACGGGATTCCCGTGGGATTCCCGTGGGATGGGAGTCAGTATTAGTAACGATCACGTGATTGGGACGGTACAGGATTAAACACTGACGAGAGCAGACGGGAGCGGGAGCAAACCAATAGTAACTAAAAAAAAAAACTAGGATCTATGCCAAAAAATAAAATAAAATGGAAAGAAAAAAAATCCAGTACTGGCACCGCTATTTTGTAGTTTTTTTTCCTTGAAGCCTACACTATAATGCGAGTCAAAAAAACTACACGACCCAAAAACCAACAGTGCTTCCGCTCTGAGTTTTTCACCTGCGCTCAAAAACAAGAATGGGAGTGGTGCAGGAGCAGGAGTCATTCTGAATGGGTGCGGGATGGGAGTGGGAGTAATTTTACCAGGAGTGGGACGGGACAGGATTTAGATTTCTACTCTGGCCCGGGATCGGGACGGGACACAATTTTTTCTGTGGGAGTGGGACGGGACAGGAGTGAAAATTCATTCCCGTGTCAGTCTCTATTCCACACCACAACGCAAGACGGACAATCATGAACTATAACGCAAGGGGCAAGTTTGTGCGACAACGGAGGTACCAAACAGGAAATACGGATAGTGTAGAGCGGATGTAGATTTGACCAATCAGATGCCTCCTGTCTGCGGTCACCTACAATTTTGGAGAGGTACAGCCGAGTGTCTACAGCAGGGGCGAGGACGACACACGCAGCAGCTGGTTTCTGAGTATAAATCAACCTTTAGAGGACGATACTGTTATCACTTCGGTAATCAACTGACCTTCTAGAAACAAAACAAGGTTCATGTTCGATTTTTATTATCCCATTTTACACTGCTTGATAAAAGTGCAAACATTTTGTCACATTGTCCGTAGTAGTGGCCTATTTGTGTTCAGCACACACCGTAAGCTGATAACAGTTTATCAAACCCTCTTTATGCCGATAGAGAGCAACAGCAATTTCTTTCCTGGAGTTTTTTCACAATGTGTTGATAGTGGTGATAATTATGAGCTAAATCATAGGATGTCACTAGATGTTCACTGCCTGCTCGACAAGTTTCTGTGCGGATCCTTCCACGTAGTTCAAAATTTTCCTAGGTGCTCCGTGTGGACATTTAGCCGTGTGGAGAATTTGGCACGAAAGCCCAAAATGTATATATTTTGGCCGTGCGGACCTCGCGAACACGTCAAGCATAGACCAAGCTCAACGCTGGCATTTAAAATTAATTATTGTCTCTAGCTAAATTAAAATTCTGAAAATTTTTAATAGTCGCAGTAAAAAAAGCAAAACCACTACAAGACAAGAATCACATTTTTATCCAAGCTGCAGCTCGCAGAGTTTGTGACATACATTGAAATGATTAACTGATTAATTACTGAGATATATAAGAACTGTTCATATT